CAGACCATTGAAGTGACAGTGAGGGAAGTAAAGTAGAAACTGATACAGACTTCTCTAGGTGGTTCTCCATTAGTTCATAATTTCTTTTCAGATGACGTGATTCTGTTTGCAGAAGCGGGTGAGGTGCAAGAAAGGGTAGTGGCAAACTGCCTAGATAGTTTCTTCCGCACCTCAGGTCAACAAGTTAGCATGGAGAAGTATATTATCTAGTCCAGTGGGAAGCCGTGTGTTTCCCTAAGGCTGAGGGAATTCTGGAGCTTAGGAGCGCCCATGAGCTCAATCTGGCCTTCCTGGCTAAGTTGTATTGGTCGTTTATGAAGAAGTCAGATGAACTGTGGGTTCGAGTACTGCAGACAAAAAACTTTAAGAGAGCAAATGGGGTGCTCGTGGCCAAATCTTCAGTTTTAGCCACTAGCATGTTGGCAATAATTGGTATATCAATAACCAGCTAACCAGTTATCGCTTAAACCGTTAACCAACTGATGACCACCCCTAAATTCATGTAATATTATATCAATTGTTAAAAAATCTAAATCCAACTCTTATATTTCTTTGCCTTATATCTAAACCTCTAAAATTTATAGTTCTTTACAGTGGGCTGCTGAATGTGGCTTTTGTGCGGCAAGCTGTAGCCCCTCTTTCGATTGCCTTTCGTCCTTTACTTAATTTTGGTTTGCTTCTCTCTTTGGAGCTTTTCTCACATCTTTTATCAAGACAGATGTTTCCTCTTCTTCCTCATGTATGATCTTATAGATCTGTATATTTAGATGGTTTTGTTGGAGACAAAGGGGCTTGGTTCTTCCTCAACTTTCTTTCTCGGTTCTCGATTTTGTGCCTCATCCTTGCTTTACCTCTCTGGCTGGTTGTTTCTGAGAAGTTTCTAGGACTCCTATTGTGAACCTCCCTTGGTTTCACCTCCAAGAACTTGATGGCAGGAAACAATCCACTCGAGGGCTCTAGATATGATCTTTATGGAATATTCTTGATTCGGGCCCAAATATACTTTTACCCCTCATTTCTTATTCGTTTAGCTTAGTATTTCATCGTTCCTCGACATATTTCACGCTAGGTACTGTTTGTTTTGATAGATTTCAGGTCCTAGCACTTGTGGAAGGGTCGAGGTAGAATTTTGGGATAATTGGAGGTCAAAAAGTGCAAAAACCGAAGAAAAGTCCGAAGACCGTGACAATTGCCTCGTAACAGTGAAGTGAAGGCGTCCCAGGAAACAACCGCAGTTCATGACCGGACGAGGCAGTTCACGGTCTCCTAAGACCGTGAACTTCGACCAAAAACCGTGAACACCGAGGCGTGTAGCGAGGTTCCTGAAGTTACTGACGACAAGCCAGTTCACAGTCTCTAACGTGAACTGTGGCCATTTACCTTGAACCCAGGAAGCAAGGAGGTGCGTTTTGGAGACGACTGAGTTCACATACGCGTTTAGGTGTTCACGACCATGAACTGGCTAACGCGTCCGTGAACTGATCGCTTTCGGGCAAATATGAAGACAACAATGGGGAGAAAGAAAGGGGAGCTGGTTTTTGGAGAAGAATTGGTTTTCTTTCTCTAGGGTTTTCCCAAAACACCAAAAGGGGAGTTCTAGTGAGAGAAGAGAGTGCTAGAGTGGTCTTGGAGCATCATTGGAGGCTTGGGTGGACAAAGATTCAAGCCTAGAAGAAGAAGAAGATCTTGAGCTCAAATTTGTAATCCCCCTCTCTCTCTAGAAACTCACTCCTTTCTCTTGGGTGTTGTAGATCCCTAACTAATACTTTGTAATTACTTGTTTAGATTGAATGATTGTCATTAGGTATTGTTTAATTCAATGATTGATGTATTATTCATGTTGATTGTGCATGCTTGTGCTTAGCAATCTAAGGGTTGTGCATGTTTTGTGGTTAGCATCCTTAGGTTTGTGCATTTTTGGTGCTTAGCAACCTAAGGATTATGCATAATTGTGCTTAGCATCCTTAGGTTTGTGCATGTTGGTGCTTTGCAATCTAATTAGCCACTTTAACTTAGTTAGAGAGGAAAATACCCCTTTCATGGGAGACTCAATCGAGTTGGTTTCCTTTAGCTTTTTAAGTCACCTAACTAGGTTAATCTAGGGCAAAGCTCAATGTTGAATTAAGCAAATTTTTAAGCGTGATTAAGCCGTCCAACCCTTGAGTTGAGTGAGGGAGTAAGTCACCACCGATTGCCTAAATCAAGAGGGCCGAGTGACACGACCTATAATGTCTACCTCGGTTTAGAAATCGAGATTGTGGTCTACGACAATATTTGCATCCCTCTGAGGTTCGCGGTTACCTTGCCCATAGCAATCTTTCCAATCCAACGAGTCTTGGTAGCTAGTTAGGGGACAGCAACTCCTGGGTGAAGCTCCCTTAGTTAGTTTCCTTTATTTACATTCCCTTGCTAGTTTAGTTTGTAGTTTTCTTAGTTTTAAAACCCAAAACCGTTTTGCTACAAACAACTTAAGCGATTGAAGTAGGGGTACATGGACTGGCCCGAGTCGATAGTTAAATACTTGCTCTATACTGCACCCGGCTAGAGTTTAAAAACTTGGACTCTAGTCGGAATTAATTTTTAGTGTAGTTTCGTGCGAGTTAATTCTTCAAACTGTTGTTTGCTTGTCATGGTGGGTGCTTTTCATTTCTGCGTGTACTGTTATTCCAATGCGAAATTGCTAATGGAATCTGATATGGCCGGAAAGTCTAGTGATGTGGGTTCGTTGATGGTGATGCGGTGATCTGACGTGGATGCGGCTGCTGCTTTGATGATTTAGGTTTTGAGGTAGGTTTTTGTATAAGCTACTTATTGTTGGATCTTGGCAACTTGTTTGTGATTGTTTCTTTCCTTTGCGGATTCTTTCCTTGGACTTGGCTAGAGGTGTTCAAATGGATTGGTTACGTGGTAACCATTTTTACTGCTAATATTTTTATAATTTGGTTTGGTTGATTTGAATAGTTGGTTACATTTAGTTTGGTTAAACTTTTTAGCTAGTTTGGTTTAGGTGGTTTGTTTTGGTTTCAAACACTACTAACCAATCAAACCAATTAGCTATATAATATATCATATAACATATACTTCATACTTTACATAACCATTCAAAAGTCAAGCGTTCCTCTCTTTTGGATGCATAAAAAACAAAGCTCATAACTGTTCTTATTTTATGTGTGTCTAATAAAGTGTAGATAACAATATATGAGCTCCTAATTTAGTTAAAAATCATACATTATGTTGGATGAAAACCTGAAAGAGAAGAGTTTTTTAGTATTGCTAAGAGACTAAAATAATTCACACATAAAGGCAATTCATAACCCACCAACATTGACGGATTGACATATAGTTTTGTTAGGTGGCTACTTCTAATGATTTAAGATAATTATATTAGTTGCATGTTCTTATGCTAAAGGTTAAATATGATATTATTTTTATTTTTTATTTATTATGTATATTATGAATCGATGCATTAAGAGAATTTTTTTGTCATGTAATGATAATGTTATGTTGTATTAGTTGACACGATTAACCAATTCATCAAATCGATTAAACTTTTATTTGGTTAATTTGATTGTTGTATTAATTTGGACGGTTTGGTTATGGTATTGTATTTCATGTTTAATAGAATTTAGAGTTAATTGATTTGATAATTATCATTGTAAAATTTAATGAATCTCAATTATTAAAAAATTTACAATGTTTGGTTTGCATAAATTATGACATTGAGGAATGTTTGTATAAAATGTACCCAAAGAAACCATGAATTGTGAAAATTAGTGGGTAGATTACGACCCATTATTGTATTTGTCTAATTGCATGCAATCTCAAATCTCAACCTATTTACGTCCAAGCAATTGTTGACCTAGTTTGATCATGTTTTAACTTTTGCAAAAATAACTTTTAGATGTAGTTTTTATAGAAGTACTTTCTAATATCAGATGTCAAGCAAAATTACTAAAAATGATTTTAATATAAAATATTAATACAAAAACAAAATTAGTCTTTTTTATACCAAAGATAGCTTGCATTACCAAGAATAATAGAGATACAACGTTTTAGGTCTCCGAACGGAGCCACGCGCAAAAATCAAAACTGCTCAGAATAAAGAGAGGGTCTTTCTAGCCACTAAATGGGCTACCCTATTGTACTGTCTACCTACAAAGTGTACCGAGTAATCTGGATGTTCACGAAGTATCATATTGACCTCCTGCAAGATAGCCCCCCAAGTACATCCATCATCATCCCTGCGTTGACTTTATCAATGATCCCTTTCGCATCACCCGCCAGCCGCATCGATGAAAACCACCACCCAATAAATTCTCTTAAAACCACCAATTCCACCATCGCTGGATCCTGGACCCCGAGGAGCCACTCCCCGCGTGCTTTAATCACGTGACCTGAAACATCACATATAACCATCCCTACCGATGACCGCTCCCCCGCACGAACCGCTACATCAAAATAGCAAGTGACCACCGCCTGTAGCATCGAACTCCCCACACCTTGACTGGTCGGAACTCGGAATACCTCGAGCAATTGGTCCAAATGAATCTTTTTAAATTTATTTTATATTACATAATATTATTTTATACCTCATTTCGCTACAAATTAGGACTTCTACTTTTATGTTATAAAATCTACTTTTCAGTTTTTTTCTGAGGCGGACTTATATAGGTCTCCGGCTTGACTTTAACTCTATAGTAAATGTTGCATTTTGTTTAATTGAAAGGAAAATATCTCTTGTCACGTTGGGTGACAGAACACCTAAAACTAGTTCATTTACATTATTTTGTGACTATTCACGTCATTTTGTGCTTATTCACGTAATAATATGGTTATTTACGTAAGAGTGCAAGTTTTTCACGTAAATGGAATTTCATACTTTTTTCTCTAATACTTTGTATTGGCTATATTTTATGGAATTAAATTTGGATTATCATTTAATCTATATAAATATGTTGCATTGATCATAATCTACACAATAACATCCATTTTGATATATTTCAAAGTTTAAAATTTTATTTTACAACGGCGTGAATAATTAACAATATGTGTGAATAAACATTAGGTGGCGTGACCGAACAGTATTGGTTACGTGAATAATCAACATTCTTACGTGAATAATACAAATAAGACGTGAATGACAAAAGTATGGCATGAACAACGCAAATATGATGTGAATAGCCCAAAATTAAGTGTTTTGTCACCTAATGTGACAAGAGACTTCCCTCTTTGATTGAAAATGCTCCAAATGCACCAACTAAACAACTTGCATGCGCAGGAGTAATAGACATATATATTAGCTAGCTACAGATGATGAACTACAATTCCTTTAGAATTTAGATTCATTACATATTGCATATACTACTGCTACTACTGTACTCCACCTTCTCTCTCACTCTTTTTTTTCCTTTGCTTGTTTGTTAAATATGGTTGCTTCAAATTACTGAAACTAAATTCACCTGGACTTGGTTTAGTGAAACGACCGATGACATATTTAACTAAGAAAGAGGAGCCCTGTGAGGAGCACCCTTCCTCCTGCTGCCGAAGGAGAGAGCACTGATCCCAGCTTGCAGGAACCCAGATGGGCCCTCCTTCTTCTTCTTGCTCATCTGATCGGATGTGGAGGCGGCGGTAGTACTGCTGCTGCTGACGAATAATTGGCCGCCACGACCAGCTTCCTCGTCGTCATCAGTGATCTCAGAACCGTCCATCCTCAAATCCTCGAACCGCGAGAACGCCATATCCTCCGACCCAGCAGCAGCCTTAACTTCATCGTCGTCGTCGTCGTCTACAACTGCTTGATTCATAGTTCCACCACGAACAGTACCGCCGGTCGTCACCAGGATGCTGCCCAGCTCCTCCCCTTCCTCCACCATGTGATTCACCTTGCAGAAGAGGGAGCAGAAATGGAAAGGGTGCTGAAGCATTCTGTGGCAAGCGAAGCAGGTGTTGTGTGCAGTGGCGGCCTTCCCCCCACTCCTCGACTGTGCTCTCTCGCTCACGAATATCACCTTGGCGCTGTTTATCGTATACGACTGCCCCCAAAACCACACACACCCACAGAAACCCATTCAAAATGGTTTTCCCTGTCAATCTAGCTTAATCACTGCTGCATTGGTATTCAAGAATCCAACTAAATGGAGTACTGGTGTGGTCACCTGAATATAGGAGCAGTCAATGAGCTTCTCAAGATCCCCTACTCGAACCACATCATGGTATACGTATCTCCTCACCTGGGAATTCATTTCATTGTCAAAAAAACATCATCATTCATAGCTCTATATGAATTCCTCCTAGCTTGTTGACTTGACTGAGGAAAAGAGTTGTTAGGCAAGAAACAAGCAGAGGAAGGAAGGGAAATAAATGAAGTGAGGCAGAGAATAAAGTATGGAACTGAAGGAGGGTTTTGGGAAATATATATATAATAAATTAATAATCAATGAGACAAAGGCCCCAGACAACAGGCAAAATGACAATATATGCATGTAAAAGGAAAATGGTGGTCAAACTTTCGCTTTCCGTGAAAGCAACAGGAGAGGAGAAGGAAGACGAGGGGAAATCAATAAATAATCCGCCTTTCTTCCGCATATGGAAACGGGGACACTTCTCTCCTCTTCTTCACGATTCCAAAAAATGAGAATCAATGCAAGAGCGACATCTCTTCTCTTCCCCTATCCAGTCCTTATTTTAGAACACTACTTACCCACCACCACACACCAACATCAGGAAATACGTACGATATTTTATAATAGTGTTTTCAGAGAAACAAAAACGAAAAATGGAAAGAAAAAAAATTGCCAAATTTTCAATGTTTTGTTGTTGTTGCATTTATGACTTCACAGAAGAGAGATACAAGCAGTGAGGGAGAGGGACGAACAACGACAAGAAGAGTTCTTTCTTTTTGGATGAAAATTATCAAGAAAATAAACTAGTACAATTATTAGTTCTTTTTAACAAACCAAGCGGTTGAACCACATTTCAACTATGATTTTAAAATAAAACACCTTTATCTCTGATTTTTCCCTGGTAAAAAATCTCCGGCACCATTTTACAATTCTTGCCAATAAGCCTTTTTGGAGTGGCTTGATTCCCACTTGGAGGGTAAGATAAGGAATAACTATGAACAATTAATTAATTAATTAATGTGGAAAGCGGAACAAGTTATAATTATTATCGTTACATTTTATTTAAACACATTATGATTAGAATTAAAAAAAATAATAATAAGGTAGGCTTGGGAAGGAGGGATGTATTGTTTAGTGTGCTCTCTCCACTGTGTTCTGGCTGCTGCGCGAATTCAATTCAACCGTCCTCCGAAACCAGAAACGAAATTCAAACCCCAAATTGAAGCCAGCTAGCAAAAAGCAACTCTTGAAAAGACAAGTGAAGAAAGTCGACAGTAGCCTAGAATGGGAGGCAGAGCAGAGCAGCAGCCCATTAATAACACACACAGAACAGAACCAAAACAAACAGACAAACAAACAAAAAGCGCGCCCAAGCAAATCTTTTTTCCACAAGGATCCTCCTTTCTTCCTTCCTCATTTTCCACAAGGAAAGGAGGTCGACGACGCGATCGTGACGATTCGACGCTGAACAGTATCCTCCTTTCTTCCTCACATACATATCTTCTTTTTTTTTTTTTTTTAAGGAAGAAAAGTAATTTTGGCGAATTAAGAAAGCGAACGAGCATTGTCGCAATACCTGGAGGAAAGGGTGGGTGTGGTGCTCAGCAGGGAGGCAGTGAGGGCAGATGGCATGGCAGCAGAGCAAGCAGAATACCTTCTTCTCATTCTTCCTCCGCTCCTCATGGACCACGCAGCTCCCGAAAAACCTCTCCCCCATCAGCCCCGACAGCCATGCAGGCACCTCCTGCTTCTTCTTCGTCGGCATCTTACTCCTCCTCCGCGTCTTCACCACCGCCGCTGACGACGATGAACTATAACAATTGTTGCTGTAGTAATTACTAAACCTGTCCTCTTTCCCCATCTCCCTCCGTGGAATTCAGGTCGGATATGACCAGATTTTTTCCCCTTCTTTGGGTTCTTCCAACAAGCCGCTCTTGCTTGTTAATATTTTCCGATTTTTCTTGAAACGGCCAAAATCAGAACCTGAATTGAATTGAGAGAGGAAATGGTAGCAAGAAAGAAAGGAGGCTGCGTGCTGGCTGGCTCTGAGAGAAAGAGAAACCCTACTAGTAGAGTACTACACTACAGAGCTCTCTCTGAGGAGCTAAGCAAATTGCTTTGCGGCCACCAAGATTTTTTGGGGTTTTATATATAGTATACACACATTCTATTTCTGCCGCGCCTACAAGTTTTTTTTTTTTTTGTTCTCTTTAATAAGAAAAATAAAATTGGATTCAGGTTGTTTCCCGAATTATTTGTCGTGGACGGGGACAAGTAAAGACAAAGGCAAAGAGCGAAGAAGAAGAAGAAGATTAATTGTAATGGAAAAAAAACAGATATTACATTACATAAGAGGATAATAACTAATAAGAGAGAGAAAGTATGTGTGCTGGGCTGGCTAGGTGTACTTTTTACGCGGGAATAAGGTTGTCAAACCGGTTTGTGCCAGTGTGCCGGTTTAGCAAGTGGAATGGTTCGACCGGTGGTACATACCGGTTTGTGCCGGTTAATATTATAAATAATTTACAAATACTCATATTTAAGCACGACATTTAACGTCAATACCTAAATATTTGTACTTGAATCCAACAAATAACATCAACATTTAACTTTTTAACACATAAAATAAATAATAAATTACTTTTTATCAAATAAATTCACTAATATCGATCATGCCGGTCATACCGGTTTTATGACCGGTACAGGTTGAACCAGGTTCAACCAGTGGCACGCCGGCCGGCATGACAACCATGCGCGGGATGAATGAATTCGAGTTTTTCTTTCTGTACCTTACCCTCTCAATTGAGACGATGACAAAGATTATCAATAGTTGTAGCCCGTCTACTCCAGCACTCATTGTTATGGGTGGCAATTTCGATTTAACTCGTCCCACTTTTATTTGATTTGCCAAATTTATGTTGAGCGAATGATATTCGTCTGGTAGTGAGGGCAGACAGTGATATACTTCTTTGACGTGATGTGTCACATTCCATATTTATTTTGTCTATATTATATGTAATTTTAATTAAATATATATAATTTCACTTATATTTTTTTTCCATATTTTAGCTATAATAAAACAATCAATATTTCTCGTATTTTTTTCATAAAATTACATATATATCAATCTGTCCCGACCTGCCCGTTGTTTGACTTCTTCAGAAGGCTCTATTCTCTTAGATATGTGATACTTGTACACCAGCCTCTAAGAACAACGTATATATCGAAACGATACATGGTGGTATTGTATCTGGAATCAATATCCTACATGTCTCTCTATTCAATTTCGAAGTATGGTTTGGCCATTTGGTTACTTTTACAAAGCAGTTTCTAGTTGTAATTTTTTAAACAAGTGTTTCAATAAACAATTAAATGTTTGACTGATAAGCTATGTTAACTATGGGTAGTAATTTGTGTTCGTAACTTCAACAATGTTAAACTATGTTTCAGATATTTATGGTTATCCATGGATAGCAATTGTTACATGCTTCTAGACCCAAAAAGAGATGGATTTGGACATCGAATGCTCACTTTGGTCTAGAGAAGCATATTTGGTAGCGAGCAGGCTTACCATTTACGAAGATCAAAGCGGGTCATAACCCATCAAGTCGCACCCAAATTTGGAGGAGAGGTTGTTTGGCCCACAAGCAACCTAGCCCACGAAAAAAATCCACAGTGGCCCCGACCGCCGTTGGACCTCCGCTAGACCCAAGCCCAAGAAAGCTTCTAGAAGATGCTTACTTAGGCCCCATGTCGAGAAATTCGAGTACGTGCTCATAGACCCAAAAAGACATGGATTTGGACATGGAATGCTCACTTTGGCCTAAAGAAGCAGATTTGGTAGTGAGCAGGCTTGCCATTGACGAAGGTCAAAGTGGGTCATAACCCATCAAGTCGCACCCAAATTTGGAGGAGAGCTTGTTTGACCCACAAATAACCTAGCACACGAAGAAAATCCACGGTGGCCCCACCGTCGGTTGACCTCCGCTAGAACCAAGCCCAAGAATGCTTCTAGAAGATGCTTACTTAGGCCCCATGTTGAGAAATTCGAGTCCCGCTCATTCGAGGATGCTTTTGGCCAAATTTTAGGAGGAACCCTATAAAACACATTTCATGATGTTCTATAAATATGAGGTTAAACTCTAGCTTTAGAAAGAACATATATAAAACACATTTTTCTTGCTTTATAAATTCAATTCTAGTCTAGATAGTATAGAGTCAACCATCTACCGGGGGACCTTAACCCATCTTATGTATTTTCCTTAAATTACTATTTGGACATAGGTTGTTACCTTGTAGTAGTTAGTATCAAAAGAGTATGTGGAATACGACCTAGACATACCTAGGATTGTTAATCGATTGCATCAATACTATAGATTTCATATAAAGTTTTTGGAGACTTTTGATAGTATTTTGAAAAAGCTACTCATCTTATATTCGATTTTACTTCAAGATATTATGCTCTAGTTGGTTTTATTTTGTAGATCTCGAACTCACAAGGGAGAGGGGCATTGTAGAAGCTACAAGGAGGAGATACTATAAGAACTTGGAACTCGATTCATCGAGCATTACACAAGAGATATGGGTTTCCTATCTCTATTCGAGTACTTTAACCCAAAGGCATCAAATGTCGAAACAAGCAGCATCCATCCAACATCAAGTGTCAAGACAAGGCCACCACTTGACATAAGGATGTATGCAACAGTGAAGTATCAATTCTCATGGGCAAATGAAGATGATCTTGGTGAGATGAAGCAATCAGATGCAGCAAGCTATCAATACCTTGATTACAAGAGCTAGGAGTAAGAATCTACCATGGAGTATGAAGCCATCATGGATAAGATCTAATCAATGATCCATCTAGAACCTCCTAAAGGCATCATGGCTAGCATCAATGACGAAGGACTTAAGCAACTGCTAGAATGTGTTCAAACCAATAAGGATTGTCAAGTAGCCGATGAAGGACGTCTTAATGAGATGCGTGAAGGATTTGGAGAGATCATAGACCATGGAGATCTCATAGACCATGGAGAAGAAGACCATCTGCATATCACCCCATTTGACGAGGAAGAATAAGAGCTTACAACTAAATCTTTAGATGGAAAAAAGGTACAAATGATGAAGAAGGTTGCAATCCTGAAGAATGTACACTAATCCAAACTTGTTTTCTTGAATTCATGGGAAGGGATTAAAGGAATCACACCACTTGAAGGCTTTCATCACTTCACTTCCTCTATGTCATCCTCTACATTTATTATGATGGAAGAAGAGCCAATGAGTATGAATCCCATCTACGCTAGATGATGATGTTGTAAATAAACTCGTAAATGAACCAAGCATTGGAATTGAAGGATTTCTTCATAACCCTGCTACATTCCCTTCTTAAAGTTTAATGAAGAAGTTTGGAGATTCTAACTTTGAACAAGAGGATGTGAGGGCGTATATTGATGAATTCGTCAATTCCAAGGAAGCTCTTTGTGGAGAAATGGAGGATAACCTACCAAAAGTTAAAAACCATGAAGAAAATTGCAAATTCTTGGTGGAGATACATCATAGATTCAATCCAGATTTCTTTCGACTCCTTGAAGTTGATCCATTTGCAATATTTCTAGAGATCCATAAGATCATAGCGTCTTATCTACCCAATAAAGTAGAATATACAAGCTCTTCCTTGAATCATTATCTCTACAACAATCACAATGCCAAATCAAAGTGTGGGTTAAAAGGTGTAAGGAGGAGACTAAGATGGCATCTTCTCCATTGCCTATCACCAAACCAAAGCGAAAGACGGATGACATTTAGTTGGAATGTGCACGTTTGACGATGGACTTCAAAGAACCCCTTAGTTGGGAATCTTGATGAGCTTGAATTTATGCATAGATCAAACGTGTAAAAGAAAAAGCACTTCATGGGAGGGAACCCATGTTTGGCATCCAACTTAAGGATGTAAGAGGAAAGTGCTACCGATAAAAAACCCCAAATTTCTAAACCATCATCATTTGCATAACAAGCTTTTCTCTTTAGAAATCCTCTTGATATGAAGGTCATTACCCACTACTCTTAGATATGTGATTTTTTCTTTCGATTATCTTTCGATTATTAATACGATATACAAGGACCATCACTACAAATAGCACTGCACCCTTGATTGTGAAATAATGATTGTTTGTTGAACCCCGTGAGTTGGATCTAGGAACTATTGATTTCATTTTGAATCGATATTTGATATTTCTACTTGTGTCAAAAAGAATTCAAATGCATAAAGGTGGGGTAGACCCAATGCCTAAATTAATTTTTAAAGAGTTGCCTTTTTATAAATAATTGTGAAACAAATCAGTGATTGTTTTTTTTTTTAGTTTCATATTTATGTTGAAGAGGAGCACTTGCTCCCCCTAAGTTTTGTTGTTTTTACAGTTTTTGATTTATTTTCAAATCCATGTAAAACTAAAAGGAAAGATGAAGAAATGGAGCATGACAACCGAATGGTGTCCATAACTTCTTTATTTGTCGTATCCTGCAAGAAAAAGGAGAGAAAATACAAAAAAGAGAAGGAAAAAGCCACAACGGCCCCACATCGGTCGGCAACGTCACACTTTTCCTAGTCCAATCATTTCAAAAGTCTGTTTCTTGCAAGGAGAAGGAAAGAAGCCGCAGCGGTCGTATTTGCCATGTCATTGTCGATGATCCATTCCCAGTCGCCACTGTTTCTCTCTCCCACTCAAAGAAAGAGACCATATGATTGAACTCGAGCAAGGAAGAGGATGGTGGTGGGCACCATCACGAGGATGTCGCTTTCCTATTAAAGGGATGCAACCCCTCTTAAAATGGTAAAGTGGTATCGTAGGAAGAATGTGTCAGCTAGAAGTGCCCTTAAAATATAGATTATGAAGGCTTTCGACAGTGTTGACTACGATTTCCTAAACTGCACTTTACTGGTAATGGAGTTCTGACTCGTCCCGAATACCACAATTAATTCCCGCCTAAGGTCCAAGTATAAACCTTATCGGGTGCAGTACAGGATAAGTATGTTTAAATATCGACCCGAGCCGATCCGTGTACCCCTGCTTCAGTCATTCGGATCATTATCTAGCAACAAGGTTTTGGTTGAAAAGTTTGCTAATTAAAGTAAGGCAAAATACATTTGTATAGCCAAAACTTTAACTATTTGGCCATAACCATATTTGGCTAAATACCAAAAATAGCCACTTCCGTCAAATTGTTTGACGGTGTTAGTTAACGTGCTGACTGGACTAACGGAAAAGCTGACATGTCAACCTTTTAGTTAATAAAAATATGAGGTGAAATTAACAGACAAAATAAAATAAAATAATTAAATATATTTTTTATTATCTCTCTCTCCCTCTCTGATTTTTCACCTTCCGTTCCCCAACCATCGTGAACAGATCTGAAAATCTTCAATCTTCTTCCTCTCTTCTTCCTTACGATGAGGGGGGAAGCCAACCAACAATAACAAAACACACATGAGTCCAACGCCATTAGAATTCTAATTAAAGAGCTTTTTTATATTAAAGTTTTTCCTTTTCATCAACTTCTTCCTCTTCCCCTAAATTCAGTCGCTTCCTTTTCAGGTACCCTTCCATCTCTCTCACCTCTTTTTATTCTCCTCTGCAGCTTCTTCGGTTTCCTCTGTTTCTTTTGTTGTTGTTGTTCAATTTGGTGAGGTTGGTTTTTTTGTGGGTGAAATTTAGAAATGAAAATCTAATTCATGGAAGACAGAGCCTTGAAATAAAGCTTGAGGAGCGAAGTTATGGCTTCAGTGAAGTATCCTCAACAAAACCAGCTACAGCAAGATCTGAGGTTTGAAGATTTCCTGTGCTTGAACCCCAGTTCAGCAGAGGATTTCACGGTCACCGAGAAGACGAACTTCTCCACAGTCATGCGAAACAAGAGGTATTTTTTCCTGGTGCTCCTGAAGCGATCCAGGAGAGAACGAAGGCAGAGGACCCCGTTGGCGGTGCAGACAACAGCGGAGATTCGACACCTGTTCTCTTCACTGTCGGCACCATCCTCTTTGCTTCATCTTGTCCGCGACCAAAACACAGAATCGACGGTTCTGGAGGCCGGTAGTGGGAGACGATGGTGAGCAGTGTAGCGGGGGAAGATCGATTCCGTGGAGAGGATTCCTCTGTCCCTGACAAAGACGACGTCGGCCTAGAATCAGATAGAAAGAAGATTTATGTGAAGGCGACGGCTCGAATTGTGGATTGGGGTAAGTTCGGGAAGATCGAGAGATTGGGATCAAACACTGGGGGAGAAGAAGAGGGTTCGATGAGATTAGTGATGGGGGAATTTTTTTTAAATGACTTGTCATCCACCATTCAATGAATGCTGAGGTGGAAATGAAAGAGAGGCTGAGTTGGAAGCAAGGTCAGCGATCCGTTACTTTGACTAACAGTGTCACTAACGCTGTTAAATTATGTAACGGAAATGTCTATTATTGTCATGAAACTTACAAAATTCTGGCTATTATTGGTATTTCCTCAAAAGTGGCTATTATTGTCACAAACGTCAAAGTTTTGGCTACACATATGAATTTTGCCTTAAAGTAAAGCAAAGCAAGACAAAAGTGAATAGGTTTTGAAAGCTCTTTTGTGAGACCGAAATGATTGCTATGGGCAAGGTGATCACTAATCGCTAGGGGACGCAAATATGGTCGTAGACCACACTCATGATTGCTAAACCGAGGCATGCATTATAGGCTGTCACTAGGCCCACTCGGTTTAGGCAATCAATGGTTGACTTACTCCCTCACTCAACCCAAAGGTTGGACGACTTAATCGCACTTAACCAAATTGCTTAATCCAATATTAAGGTTTGCCCTAAATTAACCTAGTTAGGACACTTAAAAAGCCCTAGGAATACCAACTCAATTGAGTCTCCCTTGGAGGGGGGGGGGGAGGGGTTTCCTCTCTAATCTAGGTAAAGTGGCTAATTAGATTGCTAAGCATCAACATGCACAACCCTTAGATTGCTAAGCACAAACATGCACAATCCTTAGATTGCTAAGCACACATATGCACAATCCTTAGGTTGCTAAGCACAAACATGCACAATCAACATGAATAATATCTCAATCATTCAATTAAACAACACCCATAAACAATCATTCAATTCACATAAAGAAAACTACATGGTAGCTAGTTAGGGTTTCACAACACCCAAGTGAAAAAGGAATCTACTCCATGCTAAAAATAGGAGAAACACAAGGGGAAGAGGTAGAAACCATCATGAAGGAGGCTTCTAATCTTCTTGGCACTTGTGCTGAACTTCTCTTGGGGAGAATATTCCCAAATCCACTCTTGAAGCAAAACCCTAACTTCCTTCTCCTTTGGTTCGTCTTTCTCTCTCTAAAATTTGAAGAAGGCTTTCTGACTCAATGGGCTCTCTCCTCTCTCTTCCTTTCAGCTCATCTTTTAAATAGGGAACGAGCTCAAATCATGGCCTCAGTTCACGGTCGTGAACTCTGAAACGCATTCGTGAACTCAAGGCTGGTGCCAAAACACACCCCTTCGCTTGCACGTGTTCACGGTCCACAGCTCCTGTTCACGGTCTTAGTGACCGTGATCTCAATTAGCGTCAGTAACTTGAGTTTTGGCCCTGGACGCCTCAAAGTTCACGGGCAACTGCTCTTCTTCACGGTCATACAAGACCGTGAACATCCAAGGAAAACCGTGAACTCGCCGTTTTTCACCTCTTCTCCCGGTTTTCGCTCCTTTTCGTCCAACTTTCGACTCCGGGGCTGGTTTTACCTGTTAAATCCTGAAACACACTAAAACAAGAGAAACCTAGCGTAAAGCCACCCTTTTAGGCTAGCTCCAACCCATGGTGTCAAATTGCTATAAAGCCATATTTGGCTTTTTTTCTTCCTCCAACCCACAAAAAAATGGGAAGCAAAAAATGGGTATTGGGTTTTTGGAAGGGAAATATGGCTGGGTTTTGGGGTGGGGAGTGATATTTGGCTGCCAAAAAGTGGGGAGGTTGTCAGCTGGCGGAGAAGGGCGCCGGACGCGCGCCTGGGGCGCACGCGCGCGTCCGGCGCCCTTCTCCGCCAGCTGAGCTGTTATGTTTTTTTTTTTTTTTAACTTTTGTTGGTTGGGAATTTGGGGAGCCAATTTGTTATGGATTTTTTTCCTCTATTCTCATTGGTGGTTTGTGATTCAATTTGAAATATAAATTTGAAATAATTGATGTAGTGACGAAAAAACGGTCATATTTTAACGGCCATAAAAAAACGGTCATATTTTAACGGCCATATTTTTTCTTATATATTACAGCACTCTTCATAGATTTCTCTTCACTCATTCTCAGAGCATAAATCGCATTCTCTCAAAATTCAATTGTTATCGTCTCTCAAAATAGAAATATGACAGGCAAGAGAGGACCTAATTGGCGTCCGAATGAAGATGAAATCTTGTGCAGAGCTTGGGTGTCGATATCAGAAGATGGAGCGGTTGGCACCAACCAGAAGTATACAAGGTTGTGGGAAAGAGTGGCGGCAGAACATCAAAAATGGGATCCTACTACAATTCGTACTGCTGTTGCAATGGAATCCCGAATGAGGATTATTTGCTATCACTGCAATGCTTGGAAGGGAGTTTTGCAAAGAGCACAAAGGCATCAATCGAGTGGCACGAACCAGTTTGATGTGGTATTCTTTTGGACCCTCAACTTGTGTATTTTCTTATTTTTATATGTGTCAATATAAACTTCTCTAACCCATGTATTACATATTTTATTAGGAAAAGGAGGCAAGAGCAATATATAAGCAGGAGAATGGGAACAAGGCTTTTGATTTTGAGCATTGTTTCGAAATTCTCCGAAATTGTCCAAAGTGGTACTCCAATCCTGACCTGCTTGTTAGTCCCATTCCACCTATGGGGCAAGGTTCCCAAAGTTCTCCCACAGGTTTTGGTTCTCAATCATCTCCCGTGGAAGGCCTTGATGACTTACCAGATGAAGGAGCTACGCCTTTCGTGTTGACTCGCCCTGAAGGACGCGACAAACAAAAGGCAGCAAAGAAGAAAGGTAAGGTAGTTGCTGAATCGTCAGACATATACACTACTCAACTGCTAGAGTTTGGTAATGATATGAGAGAGAGACAAAAGTCGAGGATGGAGTATGAAAACAGAAAAATGAATGTTCAAGAGAGGAGACTAGAGCAGGAGAAAGAGGAATGGGCATACAAGAGGCAAGTGAGGGAGCGTGAAGCGGAAAAGTGGGCTGTGGAGAAGAAAGAGAGGGAAGCTGCAATACTTCAACAAAATGTAGCTATTCTAGAGAAGGATTTGTCAAAGATGACACCAAGAAAGAAGAGATTTTGGAGGCGTAAACAAAATGACATTTATGGGTACGATCAAGATGATCCCAACTCTTATCCAAGTGATGGCGGAGATGGAGATGGCGATGCAAGTGGTGGAGGAGATGGCGATGAAAGTGGTGGAGGAGATGTCGATTACTTTCCTGTCATGGATTATTAATTAGAAGAAGATCCTATTTGTACTCTATTGTCTTTACATCTTTAATGTGTTGTGTGTTCTCTTTCAACTTTGTTATTTTCATGTGTCATGTGTACTCTTTGAACTTTGAGCAATTCCATGTGTAATAAAATCAAGTGTTATTGAAAGTTTGAAATACAAACAACCAAGCAACATGAAATACAATCACACACTCAAACTTGAAATACAAACAACCAAGCAACATGAAGTAAAACAATGCTAGATATTGCCGTGCAAATTCCAAAGATGCTCAACCAAGTCATTTCTAAGCGCATGATGTGTTGTAGATGAGCGAAGCCTGTTATTTCTAGCCAAGTAATCAATTAGAGTTGATTGGTGTCGGTTGATTGGTTCAGGTTGTGCATGGACCTCATAATCAAGGTCATCATCCATCTCGTCATCAGAATCAACCTGCTCATCCTCGATTATCATGTTGTGTAATATAATGCACGTCAGCATTATATTGTTAAGTGTGACAACATCCCAAGCTCTTGTAGGACCACGAATAATTGCCCATCTTGTTTGGAGGATTCCAAATGCCCGCTCTACATCTTTGCGGTGTGCTTATTGATGTTGAGCAAACAAAGCCTCTTTGTTTGACCTTGGATTGCTGAAGGTCTTCACTAAAGTCGACCATGAGGGATAAATACCGTCAGCCAAATAATAACATTGATCATAAGCATGACCATTTACCTCAAATCGTACATGTGGAGCGCTTCCATTGACGATACGATCAAACACTGGAGACATCCCCAGAACATTTATATCGTTGTTCGATCCAGGTGTCCCAAAGAAAGCATGCCATATCCATGTGTTGTAGGAGGCCACCGCCTCCAGAATGATTGTTGGCCTATGCATGTGACCGGTGTATTGTCCTGCCCAACCACTTGGACAATTCCTCCATTCCCAATGCATGCAGTCAATTGATCCAATCATTCCAGGAAAGCCACGACTTGAGGCTTTACGGAGTAAGATCCTTAAATCAGCAGGAGTAGGTGCGCGAAGGTATGTGGCCCCGTACATGTTGATAATGTTGTTGCAAAACTTTCTGAAGACCTCCATCAAAGTGCTCTCACCCATACGAACATACTCATCAAGTTGATCAGCTGGAGATCCATATGCTAGCATGCGCATCGCACCAGTAAGCTTCTGCTCTGGAGATAGTGACAATTGACCAAAGCTATCACGCCTTAGAGAAAATGAGGGGTCAAACCTCACAATGTCGCCCATAATGCGATGGAATAATCTTGGCTGCATCCGATAGCGCCTTCTGAATATGCGAGCATTGTGTACTGGATTTGGATCGAAGTAATCCCTCATAAGACGTCGATTACATTCGACCCTCTCACGATCAATGTGACGTCGGCTTGTAGTTTGACGGCGACTTGATGCACCTTCAGCCAGCCTCCGACCGATCAAACTCAAACGTAGGTGGTGAAACCTTTCATACTCTTCGTTTTCTTCTTCTCCAGACGATGAGCTATCTGAGATACTCATGATGAATGTGTTTGTTTTAGAAATGGGAAGAAGTTTTAGTTGAGTTGATGAAAATGAAGAACTGTCATTTATAAAGACATTTGGTGCAAAAAATGACAAAAAAACAGTCGTAAAGTAACAGATACAAAAAAATGGTCATATTTGGAGTGGTCCCGAAGTTTTAACGGTAATATTTTAACGACTAATTTTTGAAAAAAAAATTATCTCGGAATTTAAAAAAAATTACATCGAAAAATTTGTATTCAAAACTAATAACGAGCTATGAAAAAATTAAAGTGAAAAAAAAAATTCGAGGTCAAATAAGTATGGTTTATTGAAATAAATTGAAAAAGGGAAATGGGAAGCTAA